TTCTTCTCAGAACCAACCTGCTTTAATTTACTAAACAATTTGTTGTGAATTTTCTCGTGGTCACGTTTACAACCCTAAATGTTTGTCTATTTTTTTCACATACATTTTAGACGTTATCTACTTTATGATAGAAGACAATTTTGCTTATACTACCCTAACCTTCCCAGTGTTTATACTCTTTACTTCCATAATTGGTTAAACATTTTAAATGCATTTTTATTGATTATTCTATTGACACTAGATTATTCTATTGACACTAGATTTTTCAAGTTCTCACTTCATAAGCATTGTAGAGTTCTTACTTTCTTCTCTTTTCTGCACTCATCCTTTTCCCCTCCCACCTAATGCCTTGTTTTTTCACATTATTAAGGCTAAATGGATTTCTGTGAGATGCAATCTGCCCAATCACCCCTGAGATTTTAAGTGGCTACTATGATCTTCCTGACTCAGCATATTCAGGATTGTCATCAAATGTTGGTCACATAAAATGGCAGGAAACAGAGAACATAATTTTGAATTCCCTCAGCTATCCTTTTGTCTATTTAAGGAAAAGATAAGCTCTTTTTTTTTCTGGATCACTGGAATTGTCTCATTAAACCAAACACCACGGAACAGCACGAGGACTGGTGCAGACTAAGGTGTGAGGGGAAGAAATCCTATTAGGGATCCCAGCAGGAGGGTCACTGGAGACACACACACTAATGAAAGAAAGACCTGGGGCTCCATTCATGTTCCTGTGGTCTCAGCTCCAGGTGGGGTGGGGGCGGCGGTGGGGGGGATGATGTGGTTTGCTTTCAGAAAACATTCCAAAGGCACTCCAAACCACACAAAAGGTTTTTAAACCTTTAGGACGGAGATGAAGATAACACTTAAAAAATCCTTACTGTTACTATTTTTCATGAAACTATTACTTATAGGTTTTAAAAAGTTATCTAACCAAGATTTCTCATTAGCTAAAATATTCCTAATTATTGATATTACTTTATGCAGTTGTATGTTGAAAAGATTTTGAGTCACTCATAATTGTGTCCTTGTTTCTTTACTTTTAACTCATATTAAAATGTTTTACAAATACTTTGGTATTTTTAATGGTTTAGTATAGTATATCCATACAATTTTCACACACCCTTTGCCAATTCTAAAATATACCTGATTGTCCACTTTTTGAAAGGGATCAACACATGAGCCAATTAAAAACTACTTAAATGTGTATATGTTGACTAAATGACCCACCTATATGCAAACCCAAGGTTTTCTGTGGCATCAGAACCATTTGATGGTCCAGACTCTGAAATTTTAAAACATCACCGTGGTTGAGAAAAAAGAAACATTTATACATGTACTAATGACACATAAGAGGTTTCCTAATTCAAAAGGCAAAATAAATTCATAGATAACAAAATAATCAAAGAGGAGAAACTACCATGGTATCGTTGGTTAATTATAGCAAGCCACTGGTCTAGACTGCTGACCAATAGATGTTGCATCCTTTTTTTCATTCACCAGATATTGACTGAGCTCCTAACTATGTGCTGGTGCACAATATAACACTTGGTAAAACAAATAAAAATCCCTAACCTCTTGGAGCTCACATTCTAGTGCAGGGAATAATAAAAAAGATAAATTGGTAAAATACAGATAGTATATTAGACAGCAGTTAAGTAACCTGAGAAAAATAAAGGAGGGAAAGGGGTGGGGGTGGGGCTGAGTGTGGGCACTGCGACTTTAAATTGGCCAGAGAAATCTCATTGAGAAACTGCCTTTTGAGCCCAGAGCTGAAGGAGGTAAGAAAATGAGTTAGGTGACCATCTGGGGGAAGAGCTTTTTAAGCAGAAGGAACAGCCTCAGCCAGAAGTGTGACTGTCTAGTGTGAGGAAGGCCAGTGTGGCAGATGAGGCAGTGCAACAGTAGTAGGAAATAGTTTCAGAGAAATAATGGACATGAGATTGTGTAGGACTTTGTAGGCAAATGTTAAGGACTTTAGCTTTTATTCCGAGATGAGAAGCTTCTGGGAGTGTCTGAGTAAAGAAATCATTACTCAATCTGATTTATATCTTAAGAGGATTACTTTGGCTGATGTGTTTAGAACAGATGCGGGGAGAGTGGAGTGAGTCATAAGCAGAAAGACCAGTTAGAAGGGTCTTATTTTTGATAAAGCACTTCATTTTATTTCATAACCTTGAAAAGGATACAGAACAGATGTTATACAATTTGCAAATGAGAAGATTAAGTAATTCACCCACTAGCACTTACGTGGTGACTGCCTTCCAATTCTGAGTTCATTTATCCAACCAATATTTATGGAGTAGCCAGTATGAACAGGTCATGTGCTGCACCCTGGGAATACAATATTGAAACAATACACATGTCCTTGCCTTCATGGAGCTCACACTCTAGCGAGGAAGGCTGATGTCAAATGAGTAATCATGCTGACAAATGCAACACTGATGCTATGAAAGAGCTATGAAGGAGAGGTACATGTTACTGTGAGTGCTTAAGAGAGTGATCTATACGACATAAAATGGAAGGCTTGCCTGATGATGTGGCCCTCGAACTAATTTAAAGGATGACTAGAGAGGGCCCTAATAAGGACCTCTGACTATCCTGACAGTACTGCCCAGCCCCTGCAGACGCGTTTTTCCATAGAAATTCCCTTAGCACTAATCCTATTATGCCTTTTTAACTTTGCCTTATTCTCCTACTTCTCTGGGACATTCTTAAAGATGGAGATCAGGCAGGATGGTGGATTATATTTCAGGCATCTGAGCCTATGCTTGAAAATAGAAACAGCCAAGAGTGTAACAGTCGGCCTTGGCTACTCTTTCATGCAAAGTCAGAAAGCCTTCTCCAGTCCCAGGGAAGGAGGGTCTTATAATAGTGCAGGCCAGAGATTCTCAAACACTTTTGGCTTTAGGCCCCCTTTACGTTTTTAAAAATTAGTAAAAAATTAGAGTTTATATAGGATACATCTATTGATGTAGTACCATCATAATAGAAATTGAAAATAAGAAACCTTTATAATATTTAATTCACTGAATGAACACACATTAACAAAAATTTTTTAAAATGAAAATAACTTTTTCAAAATAAAAAATATTTAGTAAGAAGAGTGGTGGTGTTTAGCACTTTTACAAATCTTTTTCATTACCTGGTTTAGTAGAAAGTACACAGCTAGGTTCTCATAGCTGCTTCTACATTCAAGTCTGTTACAATATGTTGTTTTGGTTGAAATATATGAAGAAAATATGGCCACGTCAATAATTTCATTCAATACTAAACCCAAACTTGACAAGTAGTCGTTTCTTAAAGGTCAGTTGCAATGTGGAATCTAAAACTTTATCAATAAATGTTTCTATTGTTTCATTAGAATCCAACAGTTTATCTTGTCCTTTGAACAGATATTTGTAACATTATGCACTTGGAAGGTTGGGAATATTAGTTTACTGAGTCACGCAGATCTTCAAAATGTTGACTCATATCATTATCCAGTATCAAAAATTACAGCTGTTAATACCAATGTCCAGGTTCAGGACACATTACCCCAAAATATGGCAACTTGGCATACTGAATGTTTCGAGCAAAAGGAATTTGAGAAATAGCATGTGAAGGACATTTTTTCTTTTTCTATTTTGTTAGCTCTGCTTGAGACCTGTCACTTCTTAGTAAACAAGTGAACGCATAGTGTTCAACAGCCACCATTAGAATATATATTTGATTTGTTCTCATGATTTCTTCTAGCTTCAGGAAGGACCTTCTGCTTTTCCCCTGAAGCAAGTCATAAAATCCTCATGAGAGGTGCCCTCCTTATACTGGGACAAAAGGAGCATCTCCTTCATTTTTGGAGCTAACAAAATATGACTCGGGCTCATGCTTCTAACCACTATGCCATGCTGCCTTGTCTATGTTTTATTTTGAAAAGAACCAGTGGTTGAACTAAAAAGAAGTGACTCACTTCTTTAAAAATCCCCATTTTCTTAAAAACAATACCTTTGTTATGACTTGCTTTATAAACATCAAAACAAACAAATAATCCAATTGAAAATGGGAAGAGAACTTGAATAGACTTTTCTCCAAAGAAAACATATAGATGGACAATAGACATATGCAAAGATGTTCAATGTCATTAATCATCAGAGAAATGTGTATCAAACCACAATGAGATACCACCTCACACTTGTCAGAATTGCTATTATCAAAAAGTCAATAAATAACAAGTGTTGGTGAGGCTCTGAAGAAAAGGGAACCTCCTGCACTGTTGGTGGGATTATAAATTAGTACAACTACCAAGGAAAACAATACAAAGATTCTTAAAAATTAAAAAATAGAACTATCATATGACCTAGAAATTCCACTTCTGGAAAACGAAAACACAAATTTGAAAAGGTATGTTTACTGCAGCATTATTTACAGTAGCCAAGATATGGAAGCAACCTAACTGCTCATCAATAAATGAATGGATAAAGATGTGATAAATATATAAAACAGAACATTACTCAGAAATAAAAAACAATGAAATCTTACCATTTGTGACAACATGGATGGACCTAGAGGGTATTATACTAAATGAAATAAGTCACACAGAGAAGACAAACATCATATGATTTCACATATATGTAAATCTAAAAGAAAAAAAATCAGCAAACGAAATAAAAACAGACTCATAGCTATAGAGAACAACTGATGGTTGCCAGAGAGGAGCAGGGTAGGGGGAGGGGTGAAAAAGGTGAAGGGGAATAAAAGGTACAAACTTCCAGTCATAAAATAAATAAGCCATGGAAATGTAGCGCACAGCACAGGGAATATATCAATATCACAGTAACGTCTTATAGTGGTAGGTGGATACTAGACTTATTGAGGTGATCATATTGTAAGGTATATAAATGTTGAATCACTATGTTGTGTACCTGAAACTAATATATTGTATACCAATTATAATAAAAATTTTTTAAAAAAATGTTTTAAATGCCTTAATATTTTGAAATGTCATTTTATAACACTAATGGTTGTTGTATACATTTTATTAAATGTTTTCTGCATTTCAAACTGAGTCAATAATTGTAAATGACACAACTGTATATAGTGATAAGCACATTGTTACATGTATAACTTTGCACATAAATCTAGTTTGAAAAAGATATATTAGTAAATAAATACCCCAATCTTTAAAAACTTTTATGAAACCTAGAATAAATGTATCGAAATGAGATTTCTTGGGCAGTACTAGAAAACTAAACTGCTAAAGAATATTTGCAGAGGGATGAAGGGACAGAACTACAGGATAATCAACTAAGCTGTCCTCAAATATGAACTGTGTGGTGCTCTTTTCCATATTTCAGTCCCTTACACTTGGCCTTTTATCTATTATATCCTGATATTCTAACAAATAATACGATTAATAACTACTTCTCAAAGAGGAAATCTGCAATAAAATGTGTAATGCCTTTAATGTTTAATAAAACATTATCTAAATAACTAATCAATTACTAATATTTAAAATTTATAGTAGGAAACTTACTAAAAACAAGACTATTTCTGTTCCAAATTTAGGCTAATTTAAGTAATTCCCAATATAGCTAAACTCAATGTAGGAGTTACATTTGGTTACATCTTGCTGAACAGACTTCCAAGAATGTGAATATGGGTGGACTACTAGTCAGTGGATTCCTTCCTTAGCTGCATTACATCAATTCCTGATTCTACTGAGGAGACTCATTAAGGAAAGGATCCATCACCCATGTGCTCACATAAAACTCCTCCCTCCATCCCATACCCATCCAGCTCCCACGATAAAAAACTGCAAGGTAGTTGTGCTTTTGTGGCTTTATCACTGGAGACTGTAAGTTTGAGTTGAATTATTCAATGTGAGGGTCACAATGAGAGAACGTGGGTCTTTCTTATTCTTGTGGACTGTGATCTTTCCTTTCAAGGCTTCACCTATAGGAGAAAGGCAAAAAACATGTTTAAGATTCAGAGAAAACAGTCTCGCAGAAAAGTAATAATGTATATCTAGCACTTCTCTTTTTTTTGTTGTGAGATGTTTCACAAGTTTTTAAAAACATTTCATTTGTCAAATCTTTGCGAAAGAGTGAGCAAAATTATAGTGGTCATGCAGGCCTGAGGAGTAGTTTTATTAGGCTTCTGAATACGAGGTCCTCTGGTGAGTCCTGGGCATACAAAAAAATACAAGACTTAGTTCCTGCCCTCAATGAGTTCATAGGAGGTCAAGGGTGAAGAGAAACAGCTGTATCAACAATTATACAATAGATATATGTCTAAAGTATGCTGAAGGTGAGGATTAGGGATGGTTAGAGGGCAGTAAAAGGCAATGTTTCACAAGAATTAATTAATGAATTATCTGAGGACTAAAGTCATGGTTAACTTAAGAAATGCACATGGAATGGCATTTAAGGGAAAGAAAACATGTTGAAAGAGCCTTCAGGAAATGACATTTTTAGGAACTAAATATCACACACATCCAGAGAAAAAAAGACCTATTACATATGAAGGAAGAGACAAAAGAGTGAGATCAGAATTTGCATCAGCTAGACACATCTTTGAAATGAAAGAAAATCTATCAACTAAGAATTCAATATTCAGCAAAAATGTTTTAGAAGGTAAAATAAAAACCTTTTTTTCAAAGAAACAAAAGCCAAAACTCCTTTCCCAGTAACTATAAAAAATGTTAAAGGGAGTTATTCAGACAGAAGGAAAATGATATCAAAAAGGAACTTGTATCTAAACAAAGGAATAAACAGTGCCAGAAATGGTAGGTATGTGGTTAAATAAGAGACTTCTTTTCTTTTTTAAAATTTATTTAAATGACAATTAGTTGATGGTTTAAAGCAAAAACAGTAACAACGTATTGGGTTAAAACATCTGGTGAAATGTTTTATAACAATAGCACAAAAGATCAGAGGGGGTAAATGAAAGTCTGTTGTAAGAAATCCTATATAAACATTAATTATAAAGAGGCTGGAGTGGCTATATTAATTTCAGATAAAGCTGACTTCATGAAAAAATATAACCAGAGATAAAGACATTTCAAATGATAACCTGTTCAATTCATAAATGAGACATCATGAATTTTTGTATGCATAGAGCTTCAAAATGCATGACACAAACCTGACAGAACCATAAGAAACAGACAAATCTACAATTATTGTTGGAAATTTCACTTCCCCTTTGTTGATAACTGCAATAATAACTAGATAGAAAATCAGAAAGAATACGGAAGACTTGAACTACACTATTAAGCAATGTGACCTGACTGATATCGTTAGAACTAAGACAGATCATATGCTGGGTCATCAAATAAATCTTCAAAAATGTACAGAAGTCATACAGAATATGTTCTTTGACCAAAACTAAAATTAAAAATCAGTAACAGAAGGATACTTGAAAAATCCAAAAATCTTTAGGAATTAAACAACGGACTTCTAAATATTCCATACATGAAAATAAAAACTATAACCAGATTGTATTTTGATCTGAATGATAATGAAACAACATATAAACTATGTAGACTATAGCTAAAACTGCTTAGAGAAAAAATGTATAAAGTACATCTGACAAAATTAATAACAACTTTCAGTAAGCTAAGAAGAATCTTTCTCAACCTAAGAAACTATAGATAACATTATTTTTAATGGTAAAAGACTGAATGCTTTCTTCTTAAGATTGGGACTGAGGCAAAGATGTCCACTCTGACCACTTTTAATTAGCATTCTATTGGATGCTCTAATCAGGGTAGTAAGGTGCAAGGGTAGAAAAAAAAAGAATACAGATTAGAGAAAAAGAAAGATGTAAAATAGTCTTTATTTGTAGACCACATGGTCTTATAAAAAATCCTAAAGCAATATATAAAATAAGCTACTAGAACCGTAAAATGGTTTAGCAATATCTTAGGATATAAGGTCAATATAAAAAGTTTAATTTTATTTCTATACATTAACAATGAAGAATTAGAAATTGATATAAAAAGCCACAATAGCATTTACAATAGCATAAAAAAAGGCATACAATACTTGAAATAGATGTCACAACATATGTGCAAGATTTAAACATATACGACTATGACACAATGCTTAAGATGATCTAAAGTGAGTGGAGAGATACATTTTGATTGTGGATTAAAGGCTCAATATTATTCAGATGCTGATAAAAAAAGAAAATAAAGATGCCAATTTTCCCCAAAGTAATCCATAGATTGAATGCAATACCAATCGAAATCCTAGCAGGTTTTTTTTTTTTTTTAAATATATAAATTAACAAGTTGATTTTAAAATTTATATGGTGATTTAAAAATCAATGGGACAAAATGAAGCTCAGAAATAGACCTATACATATATGGTCAATTAATTTCTGACAAAGGAGCCAAAGTAATTAAATAGAAAAAGGACAGTCTTTTCAAGAAATGATGATAGAACAACTTAACACACATTTGGAAAAGGATGAACAATTATTCTTAAAATTAACATAAAATAGATTATAGACCTACATGTAGAAGGCGAAACTATAAAAATTTTTAGATGAAATATATAAGGAAATCTTTGTGATGTTAGTTTTAGGGTAGCAAAGATTTCTTAAGACACAAAAGGACAAACTTCAAAAACTGGTAAGAAAATGAAAAGACAAGCTGGGAATTGGGATAAAAATATTAGGGACACATATATTTGACAAAGAACTTGTATTCATATATATAAAACCTTACAACTCAATACCAAGATGACAAACAACCCATTAAACCAATTAAAAATTGAGCAAACATTTTAACAGAAATCTCACAAAAGATATATAAACGACCAATAAACATATGAAAAGATGCTCAACATTACTAGTCATTGGGCAAATTCAAAATAAAAGCACAACTATCACTACATACACAATAGAATGGTTTAAATTAAAATGACTGACCTTTTGTATAAGTGGTGGCAAAGATATGGAGCAACTGAATCTACGCTGGTGGTAGGAGTGTTAAATAGTACGGTCATTTTGAAAAAATTTGCCAGTCTCTTATAAAGTTAAACATACACTTACCGTAAGACCCAATAATTCCACTCCTAGGTATTTACCCCAAAGAAATGAAAACATATATCTGCATGGAAACTTTTACTTGAATGTATGTAGAAACTTTATTTATAATGGCCCCTAAAAGTCTAGCAGCAGGTGAATGCATAAGTAAATTGTAGTATGTCCATACAAAGGAATACTGCTAGGCAATAAAAAGGAACCAACTACTGATAAGACAGATATGATAAGCAGAAGAAGCTGGATTACATTTTGTATAATTCCACTGAAATGAAATTCTAAAGGAATACCAATACTTTAGTATCAGTAATATTAATATACAGTAATAGAAAGCAGATCAATGGTTGTCTTGGTCTGGGGACTGGAGTTGGGGATGACCACACAGGGGATCACGGAGGAAACTTTTTGGAGTGATGGAAATATCTTATATCTTGACTAGGGTGGTGTATACATACATCAAAATTTATCGAACTATACAATTAAAATGTGAATTTTCATTGCATGTAAATTATAGAACAAAGTTGTTTTAAAAATGTGGTATCTTAGAAATAAACACAGATAAATGTAACATAGTAAAGAAACCAAAAAATCCATTATAAAGATTCACTACATGGTAAGTGGGGCACTTTACATCACTGAGGGAAGGATTCAATAAAATTGTATAAATATAGTAATACAATATTCTTAATATGAAATCAAAGTCAGAAATCAAAAAGAAAAGGTTGAAGATTTGACTATACAAAAAAAAAAATTCTATAAAGAAACTTAAAAGAAAATGAAAACAATGTTACTTTTATTCCTTAGACTAGCAAGAATGAAAAAGAGTCTGAATTTTGAATCAATTCCTATTGATGGATTATCAGAAGTGGGATACCTTAATAAAAGGCATAACATATATTCTAGTTTTACATTCCTTCCATCTTCAGTAACACTGGGTATTGTTAGAAACCAAGCCATCTTCTACAAGTATGTGCAGCCCCAGCGCCAGGGCACAAGCCTCGCTACAGTCCCTAGCCCAGGCCTCCCTGAGCTCGGAAATCCCATCAAAAAAGACTCCATGTAAAAAGGAAAAAAAAGAGGGACCCCATGTGTTTCTGTCTCTTACTTCAATAAAAGTTTCTTTCATTCAGAAATAAATAAATAGAAAAATAAATAGATAAATAAAACAATATAAACACCTTTGTTATTTAGATAAACAACTACCAGAATCTGGTCATGGCAATTTCCATTTCAGTGATTATCAGTGGCAACGGGTATGGTTTCAAATGTTTAATCACCATCTTAAAAAAAAAACCTTTTGTGCATTAGTATATTTTCTTGTTGAAGTATATGAGGTATTGTTGCAAATACTTCTTTTTGGTGTGTGTGTCCTATTGGTAACTGCTCTTTGATTTAGGTTGCCTTAGGAATGTTTAAAAAAATGTAAGTTGGCTTGTTTCTAAATGTTCTATTCAATCTTAGCATAAGGGTCAAAATAGGAAGGTTCAATGGTGCTTATAAAGCAGGTTATCAAATTCACATCAGGTTTAAAGGATATGCCTACAAGAGCACTATGCATTCCTCAATTCAGGAATATAACCCAAGTCAAGATGAACTAGTAATGGATGCTTTTGTTAAATTTTCACACAAAAAATTTGTGTTAATATTAAAAAAACAAAACATCTGAATAATTAAAAAGGTATAACAGTAACTGCCTTATAAGCTCACAGTATAATTTTCAGGTCTTAAGATGAAATACAAGTAAAATAACTACTTTTATATTAACCTTAATTTCAAATTAAGAGTGTAAACAGGACCTATTTAAGTTAATTAAATAGCATGAAGGGTCACAGTAATAAATACATAATTTACACTGCTGAACTCTCTTCAATTGTTCAAGCCTGACTAAAGCACCAAGGCAGGGGCTG